ACTGTTTTTTGCATTCGCAAACTTATAACAGAGCCTTTAAGTAATCCATTATGGCGGAAAATAATCCAATATAAAGAGAAAATTGAGTTCTTTCATATCCAGTCAAATTACCCCATTTATCTCCAAACAAATTAAAGAATTTGTGAAAAATCTCCATTTCCATTTTGGCATTACCTTGGAAAAAGGTTGTATGCACATAATTTCGCCAACTGCAGGTATAAGTATAATACTTTTAAGGAGATAACCTGTTATAAACTTTTTGGTTATTGATCTTAGGAATAATAATATCGGACTTGTTGCAGACGATCTTTTTGCTCGACAATGTATTTTACTGTTTGGAAGAATTTCTAAATATGACCCGCATACGCACTTATATCAAAAAAATCATTTCTTCCATAAATCCATTGAATTTATACCTTATTTTGAAGGTTTTGACGCAAACGTCGAATCATATCTTGATTTATGCAATTAAGCTTGAAGACGCTGGAAAATATATCGGCGTTTAAAGGTCAATTTGTAGTTAACTGTTATTAAATAAAAACAATGTGTTTAAAACATTTTCACATCAGAAAATCCTTTTGATATCAAGAAAGTCCCATCATTTATCTTTAAAATGGCGATAAGATTAAATTTATTGTTCTAATTTATACCTATTTTTACGTCTACGCAACTTGTGGATTATCAAGAAAATTTCGTTTTTTTTAACAAACGATTAGTACTTCTTATATTTCTTTCAAGTAAAAAATTTGCCAGAGATTATTCATTATTACTCCTATAGTTTTTTTTAGTAAATTCGTGCATGCCGATTTGCCAGTGCTTATCAGCATTTTGCTAACTTCGACATGTTGCACGAATTCTGGGCGGGAACTCTATTTCCAGCTTTATCGACGCGGCCTTTTGTACAAGTAAAGCTTGCCTCCGTCTTTTTTTGCTTTTGCGCACGCTTCATTACCATGTTCGGGATTCTGGCGTGTGTCGCCGCCGTGTGATTTTCATGCGATTTCTTCTTCTCTCTATATGTCACCAGTGCCTTTGTCGTTATGCTGACGAGCGCCTTCTGGCACGGTGTTCATCCGGGCTACTACCTCGCCTTCCTGGCCATCCCCTTCGCCATGCTGGCCGAAGAGGGCATCGCCACCACAGTGGTCTTCTTCTTTGGTTGTTCCCTGCCGCCCGGCACGGTCTCCTTCTTCCGCTGGCTCTTCAAGATGCGCACCTTTGATTACTTTGCCATGGCCTTCCTCCTGCTGGACGTACCCAGCATTCTGACGTATTGGGCCAGCCTCAACTTTGTAATGCACTTCCTGATTGTGGGACTGGCGGCCCTGCAGTTGCTCCTCCACCGATTCGTTTCCCCGCTGGCGCTGAAAACAGTGCTGTATCCTGCGGGACCGCCGAAACTGCGAGCCTCCTACAAGATACACAAACTGGTCGAGGAGGAGGAGGACGAAGGAGCCTCGAAGGCCAGTGATTGGACGGCCAACAACTCCTATGGCAATTCAGTAGGTACCAAACATCATGGCGACAATCTGGTGGACCACAATTACTTGTAGTCCTACTATGTATTCTCGTTTCTTGTATGTTACTGAATGTGACCTAAAGTAGGCACGTATCACGCGCCGTTTGCGTGCCTGCCAAGATATCTTTCCCTGCTTTATGATGATGATGACGACGACTGAGTGCTCTGCCCCCCTCCTATTCAATGTTAACTCGCCAATTTTTTGGTAAATCCCTTATTATTCTTCTAACTTAGATTCCCCCCTTCGGCCTGTATTAATATTTTTCTTTGTCGCGCCTCCTTTCCAAATCTCTTTTTTGTTAGACCTATAATGGAAGATTTGCTGAGAAATAAAAACACACACTTTTGACCTCTGCAACATTCTTGCTGTGTCCGGATGGAATTTGTTAGCAGCCCTGGGTTGTGTGGCAAGACCGCGCCTGTCTACCATTCTTCGCTGACCCGCTCTGCCTTCACGAGTGTCAAATTTTTCGCACGAACTGACACCGTTTAGTTGCAAGGGGTTTTAGGTATGTGCGAGAAAGTTCCGGACGAATTGTCAAGGGCCTCAACATCATCTCCCACCCTGGGGTCCTGTGTGTCTTTTTGCTCGTCTCCGCCGAAATTGAAGACCGAGGGTCCGCGTGCCACGAATAAAATACGTCTCTCTCTCTCTATGACAAACTAAATAAAGCTTAGAGCCTTTTTGACCGGAACCATGTACGATGAAAGTTGTTTAAAATGAACAGATTACAAGGTAGACAACAAAGAAGAGTCTTGCGTCGAAAACATTAAAAAATGGTGGAACACGGAATTAGGAATCTCTGTCGCAAAGTGTTAAGGCTACTAAGGTATTACCCTAACGGATGCGATCTTCGAGGCCCGGTTTGTGAGGAGATGAGATAAGTCTTGGAAGGCGAGAGTAGTGCGAACAATATATTGTTTACAGAATGAGTTGGGGAATAGTTCATAGGAAGGCTGACTCAGTCAGCGTTCCTTCGACCATGATAGCCGTGTGAGAGAGCAGCGGCGTGGCGTCTGCTCCGCGCGGTGGCGGAATGCCAA